TGGGGAGGTTGAGATGCAATCCAAGGAAGACGGCTCAAAAAAGTGGCCGGTTGGTTCAGGCCCGGACCTAGGCTGTTGGATGGACGCTGTTGGATGCAGACCTAACGGCATCTGTAATTGGAGAGAAGCTCGAGCCGCGAAGGAATTGTGGGACTGTGGAGGCCAAAAGCTAAACTAATTATAATCCGAGGCCGTGGGTAGAACCCAGGATCAAGGCTCCTGTCCTACACATTGACGAATTTGCAAGACAGTTTCCCAGCCTGTGCCCGTAGTTAAGAATTAAGAAATGAAGTAAAACTGGAGACCGTAGATGGAAAGTAATTGCTTTGCAGACCCACCAGCATTTACCATTGTTTGTTTATTTCTTAGGACTTAGGCATTTATTTTGTTTTTCATTGTCACTTGGTGTCCTGCACGTGGTAGTCTGTCAGTAAATGTTTATAGGTTGACTAAGCTTGCGAAAGGGGCACAGGAATATTGGCACAGAGATAAAATGAGTGCAGATTAATTCACCAAGGAGGAAGCTGAAACATCAAATTCTGAGGATAAATGAAGAGTGTATGTGTATGTGCGGGAGGGCAGGAGGTGAAATGGTGATGCAAGGCCAGTATTTAGAGAAATCTTCATGTGTGGGCAGATTTCCCAAAGATTGTGTGCCTTTGACAAGAATAGCCAGGCTCACAAGGCGGATTCTAGGACAGAGGAGTACATATGCTGCAGAGGTGCACAAAAGATAATAAACCCAGGCATTAGGTCTGGTGAAAATTTCTCAATGAGAGAAAATAGAGTATACTTAATACAGAGAAAAACCAGGCATGGATTAGGAGGTGATGACAGAAAGGAATCAGTTGGTAGGAAGAATTGAGGTCAGGTGAATGGGTTGAAAGGTCTCAGGGTTGATGCTGTTTGTAACCCAAATACCAAAGATATAAAACAACCTTGCTCTTCTATACCAACGATATCCTGTGTTACTTGACTAGTGTTGCACACTATCATCCTGGCTTTTCAGCCTTCTTCCCTATGTGTCATACTCACACCCATCTGGATAACTTATTTCTATTGGTGCAGAGGGAAGAGAAGCAGCTTGAGGCATCATTAGATGCATTGCTGAGTCAAGTGGCTGATCTGAAGAACTCCCTGGGGAGTTTCATTTACAAGTTGGAGAACGAGTATGACCGGCTGACCTGGTAAGGGTTGCCAGGGCAATCGGGAGGGCACCATGGGTGGAGGGCCAGGCCTCCTGGTGGATAGGACATTTCCAGTGATGTAACCATTTATCACTTTGCAAACATCTTTTGATTTGGAAAGATCTGTGTTTACCAACATTTAACAAATGAAATTTAGCTTAGGGCCTCCATGGCAAGGAAGTAGAGAAATGCTGTTTCCCAACCTAGGTTCCTCTAGCTTTTGATTCTCACCCTTTGACTTATGTGGGAAGACATCCTCCCTTAGCAGGTCTTCTCACTACGGTAGGAGTGCAGTGGTCATACTGGATCTCTTACCACAGATGTTGCTGAGTCTTTAAGATCCAACCTACTCTAGAAGTGTGGATCCTATTTCCAGGCCAGAACAGGGGCTGTTACTCAGTTTCTGAATTTTTAGTGACAGCAGTGTAGCAGTGGTTCCTATTTTGCCACTGTTTCTCACTGCATTCAAATAATGAACTGCCTTTTTTCTCTATCTGTGTCAGAAACTGAAAGCATGCCCCTCTTTTCTTAACCCTACCATTTCTATAAGCCAGTCTGGTTCCCACCCAGTCCAGCTATAGGGATGAGTCTTTGAGATGATTCTGGGTATTCCTAATCTGATGGACCCTTTCGAGGTTACTTTACTGGGAACATTCTGACACTTTCTTACTACCACTAGGCCCTCTGTCCTGGACAGCTTTGCCTTGCTTTCTGGGCAGTTGAACACTCTGAACAAGGTCTTGAAGCATGAAAAGACACCACTGTTTCGTAACCAAGTCATTATCCCTTTGGTGTTGTCACCAGACCGTGATGAAGATCTCATGGTAAGAGGAGAAGGGTACAACTTGGGAAATTAAGTTCTTTGATGACGACCTAGAACACAGTTGTTGGTTGGTTATTCTAGAAGTTCTAAATGTGGAGTAGTGTGTGGCAACAAAAAGCAAAGGTTTCAATTTGGAGGCCTTGCTTTTTGTCCTTCTGGATTTGGGGGGCCACTCCCAAATAAACTTGAGAACAATGTTACTAAGGCAAAGACCTTTCTCCTCCAACACCCATCTCAAGCAAAAAGTGTGTTCTTTTGTGACTTTGTCTATTTCAGTCTTTGATGAAAATGTAGCAGAGAGAGATTTGCTCCTGGGTCTGGTAGGATAAGAGTGTGAGGAGACGGAAATAAAGGATAAAGTGAGGGGTACAGTGTCCTAAGAAGCTAAATATTAGGCTGTGTAAGTCTTAGGCTGTGTTTTCCCTGAACATGCACTTTTGCCTGTGGCAGGAACTGTTTATCAGGCCAGGTTGAATCTTCTGGGAAAGCATAGGAGGATCAATAAAATCTGTATTTTATAGCGGCAGACTGAAGGACGAGTACCTGTTTTCAGCCATGAGGTGGTTCCTGACCATCTGAGAACCAAGCCTGACCCTGAGGTCGAAGAGCAAGAGAAGCAACTGACAACAGATGCCGCCCGCATTGGTGCTGATGCAGCTCAGGTTGGACTAAGTCACTTCCCTGCTGTGCCCCATTCCCTGAGTCCCATCATGAGAAGCTAGCTAGGCATTACTACTGCTGTCTGGTAGGGGTGCACATTTAGTTCTACATAAGTTGCCCTTAGCACAAGGAAGAAACCCCCACAATTATTTCTTGCTTGCCATAATCTCTGCACCACTTTATGTGTGTTACAGAAGCAGATCCAGAGCTTGAATAAAATGTGCTCAAACCTTCTGGAGAAAATCAGCAAAGAGGAACGAGAATCAGAGAGCGGAGGTATGGAGGTATCGGTGGCAAAATAGAGAAGGAAGAGGGATAAGATCACCGTTACAGGAATGGTGATTTTGGTAGTAGTAAAGTGAAGTCATAAGAACGAACTTCTTAGGAAAGGGTTACATTCATTCTGTTAGCCTTTTGTATTTAAGGCCAGCACTGGAGCAGGTGGAGGAAATGGGCAAAATAAGAAAGGAGCATTCTCAGGTAGTTGTGGCGTCCTTTGGCTCTTCCTCCGGGCTGCCAGGGAGTCTAGATGCTGCTGAAGTCAGAACTTGAAGCCCTGATATTCATAATGGTCTTCTGTTACTGGGTTCAGTCTAGGGCCAGAGGCATACATACCTCAGGGTTCTCACCTTTTTCTTCAGGTCTCCGGTCAAACAAGCAGACTTTTAACCCTGCAGACACCAATGCCTTGGTGGCAGCCGTTGCCTTTGGGAAAGGGCTATCTAATTGGAGACCTTCAGGCAGCAGTGGCCCTGGCCAGCCAGGTCAGCCAGGAGCTGGGACAATCCTTGCAGGAACCTCAGGATTACAGCAGGTGCAGATGACAGGAGCTCCAAGCCAACAGCAGTCAATACTCAGTGGGGTACAAATGGCCCAAGCAGGTCAACCAGGTAAGGTGGCAGGAATTGACATAGTGGCAGACCTTGAGCAGGGAAGTGGGAATAAGCCAAATTGTCTGAGCCTCCACATCCCCAGAGCTGGAGATTTTCTCCCATTCTCTTAGACCGTGACCCAGAAAACAATTTTTTGAAGTAAAATCTCATTTTAGTCTCTAACAAATACCAGAGAATGAGGAGTATCTTTGAATAGCAGAAACTGCTCTCACCTCCTACCCCTATCTCAGACCTCCGTCTCAACTACTCTCTGTCCCATTTACTCTGGATATTAGGTGTGTTGTCAGGATCTTTTCTTAGGGAAACCAATAGTCAGACCTTAATTAAGACTGCTTGGTAGGTGGGTTGGGCATTGATAAGCAGGCAAGTTTCCTAGTGCTACATGTATTTTCTTTGTATCCTGTTTCTCTGCTCACTTTAGTGATGATAACAATCTGGAGGAGTTCATATGCAAGTAGCTATATGAGATATTTTCTTCCAAGCTGTCCAAGAAAAGGGTCAATTAAAATAAGAGAGAACATTTTCTTTTACCTGTGACATTTAGTGGGGGTCACACAGGTTTAGCTATCTTTTCCAGGAGTAGATGAGCAAGAAATTGACTCCTCCCATTATTCCCCTCACCCTCTTGGGCCCTTTCTTCCTAGACACCTTTAGGGAGAGAGCTGGGCAAGAAACCACACCTCTGATCCTTGCCACCCAGGGTTAGATGCCACAGAGGTTCTGAGATGATAGAAGGGGTGGCAGAAGGAAACTTGAGACACCACATTTCTGATGTGTCATGAAAGTCTTAGTATGCTTCAGGTATCTTTCTTTATGTTCCTTTTAGGGAAAATGCCAAGTGGAATAAAAACCAACATCAAGTCAGCTTCAATGCATCCCTACCAGCGGTGAGTGTGGCTGGCAACCTCCACTCCCAGGTGCTCTTTGCAGAGTTGGGCAATGAAATTGCCTTTTGTCCAGAGCTGACCTAGATGGGTACAATAAAAAGAACATGGGCTTTCAGCAACAGACAAATCCCACCTCCACCACTGACTAGCTATGTGACCTTGGGCAAGTGACCTAATGTTTCTGAGCCTGTTTTATTTGTAAATGATGATAATACCTACCTCATAGGGTGGTTCTGAGGATTAAAATGAGAAAATAAATGTAAAACACTTAGCAAAGTATATGGAATAATGGATTTTCAATAAATGATAGTTTCTACATCACTTCTTCCACTGCCCTCCTCAATCCTCAATCTAGAACTGACCCTGATCTGATACTACTCATGTCAGTGGTGAGCTGATGTACACAAGATCATGGACTGCTCTCTTCTGTTTGAAGGCCTGTGTTTATTTTGTGCTGCCAGAAATTGGTGGCCTCTATGTTCTTAGAGGCACACTATTTCTGCAGGATCTCCTGCCCTGGTTCCATCCTGGCCATCACTCAAAGCTATAGGCAACGAGGTTGGGATAAACTGTCTTCCTGCAGCTCTGGTGAAGTTTGGGCCTGCTCTTCTCCCATCCTTCGAGAAGCCAATTCAGCTCTTACCTGGGAAATAGTCACAAAGTCTCTATCCTTTATCCTACCCTATACAGATGAAGAAAGATGTTGAAGTTCCGGTAGGTGGGGGCTTCCTCAGGAAGTGACTCTACCAGGCAGGACTGTGTGAGAAAGGGTTTTTGTTAGCACACGAAAAAGCCCCTTCTTCCCCAGACTCATTTTTCTTATTTTGGAGGAAGGGGGGACTTTGACTTCACACCGTCTTTCATCAGGGTTTAGTTATCCTTATCATATACCTGCTTCCTGGACTCTAACCAGGATGGCTTTCCTTTAGTCCACTGAGTCTGTGGCTCAAATAAGAGCCAGATTGATGATAGGAGGGGGCAGCCACCAATACCTTTTGTCTGTTTTTATAAAGCTGAAGAGCAGAGTGAGTTTGGGTCTCCAGTCTAAGCTGCCTTTCATAGTACTCCTTTATGGGCAAGGGCAGGGGTTGAGTCAACAGAATTGGATCAAGGAGTTTCTCTGAATAAATTTTTGAAATTTAATGGTCACTGTCAGGCTTATCTGACAGTAATTTATGTGAGAGCTATGTAGGGATCAGAGACCATAAATCAGACTTTCAGGCTTGTCACGAGGCAATTCTGGTTCACCATAGTTTTCTCATCTTTGATTAGCTTTGGTCTAAAAGTCCTGAGAGGTATGAGGATGGCCTACTCATACCATCCAGCTGCCTTTTTTCTGTTCTCTTTTGTCACACACTAGCATTTTGTCATTTGTTCAGTGCCAGGCAGAATTCTGCCAGGCTGTGGCAGCAAAGATTGGAAAAGTGGTCCGAGATGTCACATCCATTCCTGTTCCATCAAGATAAGAAATGGTATCCACAATGCACACCGACTGTAGTACACAACAGTACACACAACCTTGTCATCAGCTTTGAGACAATGCCAGACCTTTCCCCCACTTCAGCAGCATAGCTTTACTGCTGTGTCAACTCCTTCAGGTGTTCCTTATTTTCTGATCCCTTCCTTTCCTACTGGCGATGTCAAAGCTAACTGTCATATTGCCTAGGGTTCAAACTGTGTTTCTATAAAATCCCTGGAGCATCTTTTGGCAACTACTGTCCTTTATTCCTCCAAAAGATTCCTTCCTATTGAATGGTACTAAAACCAAGTTTCTTTGTTATCCAAGGTTAATACTGACTTCGTTCTCACCATACTATTTGAAATATGGAGTCCTTGTCCTCCAAGAATGGAATGTCTTCCTGCCCCAGTAGGAACATACACACAGGACCTCACCTACATCTTGTGCCCATAAGCAAATGCTCCTTATTCTAGAGGCACTCATATCTCTCTATTCACTCTAGGAGCACATGCCCTCATTTTCAAGCCCACCTCCCACCCCCAAATCCTCTAGAGCACACAAACCTAAGTAGTATTGCCAACTTTGGGGCCCATACGGTCCAGTAACTGCCTCAGTATTTACTACCCACCCCTAAAATACTCATTCCCTCAAAAGGGAATATATATGGAATTTCCTTTGAAGAAGAGGACATGACCTGCTTACTTGCTCAGATTTAGGATTGGCAAAAGATGGCTCTCATACCCCACTCTGGTAATATTCCTCAATTTCTGACTGTTCTTTTTTTGTTTCGGAACTGCTTTCTCCTACTTTTGAGGCCCCTGAAGAATCAGATTAGGCCATTGTCTTCCAGGTTTATATCTAGGATGAAGAAAGAAGCAGCAGCTGTGAAATCTCAAGATCTTGGTCCAGCACATTTCACCCTGCTGAAAGCGGGAGCTTACTAAATCAATGTTTGTGTGACACCCATTGCCTAAGACCTCTCCCTCTCCAGCTCTGCCCTGAGGCCAGGATTGGGTCATTGTTGAATGTTCCCTTTGCTTATTGCCCTAGTCACCCCATTTTTCTTCCTTTTCTGGTGTCTACTGCCTTCCTACCTTACTTCAGTTAACCTTAAACTTTCTTGGGAAACAGCTAAGATAGATAGCATGTAGCTAAGTGCTTCCAATTCAATAATGGGTCCTGGCATTAGGACTGAGCTGGAGAGTCGTGTATTGCCCATCTCCTGTTTTTTTTTTTGCAAGGCTGGTCCCTTTTTCCACCCCCTTCTCACCTCCCCCAGGCAGCTGAGAACAACCTCTCCCTTGTCTGGGCTTCTTGTACAGAATAATCCTCCTTATGGACAATGTATTCTCTGTGCCCTGTGCACACAGGAGCCGTGTGAGCTGATCCTAGCACCAGGCAGGACAGAGGCTGAATCCTTCCAAATGCCCACCCTGGGTCAACTGGTTCCTGTCCAGAGAAACTACTAAGGGATGTACATTTTCTTCCATCTGTGCCAGATATGAGGGGATAACCTGTTGAAGTTTAGCAATGGACCAGGATTAGGGCCAGGGCCTTTGGTCCCTTTTCAGTTCAGTCCTGAGGATTCACCATGCCTAACTGGAGATCTGAATGTGGTTCTGGCCTGACAGCCTTGAACACACAGGTGCTAACATTTGGAAAGGCTTTGCCACCCCGTAGATGGGGCTTTTTAACTAGAACAGAAGGCAAACTCTAACCCATCTGACAGGGCCATAGCGCCCCATCACTTCAACATGTGTTTTGTCCCAGAGGACAAAATTTTTCTCTCTTTTCTTTTAACTTCTCTCTTGTTCTCGAGCTCCTATGTGTCACTGTGACAGATCTCCATTGTGGTCTCTTGGTTTCACATGCTTTAAGGATGTCACCTACAGTTTGGGCATGGCTTATTCCACAAGTGTATTGTGGACAAGGCACCTGAATTCCCTGGGCCTCAATTTTCTCACCCGAGTGATCTCAATGATTCTTCCTAGATCTATAGTCTCTGGCAATGATTCTTTTTTTGTTTTCCTGATTGTCGACTGTTATATGAAATAGGCCAATTTTTTCCTAGATCAACTCCCAAATCACTCGAACCCCTACAGACTATTCTTAAAGTTCTCTCTCTGTCACCTGCAACTTAGCATACCAACATCCTTCTAGACCACTACCCTAAAATCATTTTCAGCTTACAATAGTTCTCTAGTGAAAAGTCATCTAAGAAGTGGTAAGTTATCACAGAGATACATGTATTCTGTATCAGAAGTCATCTTTTCACTCTCAGGCATTCCTCTCTCTCCCCTGGGCAAGATATATGCACAGGGAGACTCCTCCAGTACAAGCAGTAAATTATACTTTTTCCAAGTGATGAGAACCTTCCCTACTGAATCAATCTAAAGAGCCCTGGGGCTGTTCTTCCTACTTTCCATCTGCCATTCCATGCCTTCCCTTCTCTAACACAAATTTCCCTAGTGTGTGGTCATTTTGATTCTTCTCTTGCCCACATCCCACATGTAGACCATCCTTTGTTCTTGTTACTGATTTCTCTGGGCTGCACCCATTTTCATGGCCCTGATTGCTGTCCTTTTAGTGTTGCTTCCATGTTAATCCTTCTTGACCCCACATCCCCACTCACTGACTCATAGCCACACTCTTGAAATAAAGAATATGCAATCATTGTCTCTTCCACATCTCCCATTCACTCTTCATCCCCCGCAGTGGGCTTCTTACACCATACATCTAGAACTACTCCACATTGACCTAATGTCTAAATCCAGAATTTTTTCAGTCCTCATCTTATTTGATCTCTACAGTGTTTAATGGTGCTGGCCAGTTCCTTTTCCTGCCTCCTCTCTTGGCTGCTACTTTTGTGACTATTCTTTCTCTTCAGTGTTTAGCCTTCTATCCCTCTGCCTGCTTCTTGAATGTTGTCATTCTCCAGAACTCTGTCTTTAACCTTCTTATTCTACCTGTCTTCTGTGACTACCACTTTTTTACATAACTCAAACAACTTTCAGCTTAGACCTGTTTTGCTGAGCTGCAGATGACTATTGGGCATCTCTACTCATATGATCCACAAGTACCTCAGATTCTGAATGTCCACATCCAGTCATCTCTCCAACACTGCTGCTTTTCCAATTTTCCTGTGTGTGACCTAAGGCAGGTCTATGGAAGCCACTTTAAACTCTTCCTCCTTCATGTCCCCAGCCTTCCACACCCAATCATATACCAAATCCTGTTGATATTGTCTTCCCAATGTCCATCCATCCTGCCCTGCAGTTTAAGCCCACCCTAAAAGTATTTCTTGCCTCCTTGTCTCCAGTCTTGCCCATTCCAATTCATCTTCCACATGGTTGCCAGACAGTTCTTTCTAAACTGCAGACCTGATCACACTACTCCTTTGATTAAAATCCTTCTGCTAGTTCCTTCTCCGTATTTCTCAAACTGGGGTCCACATCCCTGGCAGGCTGGTAGGGGCAGTGCTGAGCATACTGAGGGTCAGGATAAAATCATCCTGGAACAACCATTTTACTTAAGAGTAATT